GAGTAAGTAGAAGAAAGTAATCTGTATCCTATAATTGCAGAGAATCGGGCAATCTAATAACGTGCATCTATATCAGAAAGTTGACTGTTCTAAAATCAACTTGGAAAGCAAAACTTTATTTTCTCCTTCAGTATGTCTGTACTTTCAAACAACTATGATGAAATCAATATGAATTATATTTTTACACATTGGTTCCTTAGAAACTTGTGTAACCATTACCTTTTGTTTAAAGACTATTTTTTAGGCAGTTTTAGAGTCACAGCAAAATTAAGAGAAAAGTAGTTTTTCCGTGTACCTCCTAGCCCCTGCATATGATTAACTCTTATTTATTACATACTACATAGGTATGTTTATCTTTCCTTTTTTTTTTTTTTTTTTTTAGCCCAACATTATACTATGGGAAACTTCAAGCATATGCAAAAACAGAGTAGTACAGGGGTGCCAGGGTGGCTCAGTGGTTAAGCGTCTGCCTTCCACTCAGGTCATGATCCCAGGGTCCTGGGATCAAGCTCCATATCCTGCTCTCTGCTCAGTGGGGAGCCAGCTTCTCCCCTCCCTCTGCCGTTCCCCCCATTTGTGTGGGTACACTCTCTCTCTCTCTCTATCAAATAAATAAATAAATCTTAAAACAAAAAAAAACAGAGTAGTACAATCTACCTCATATCTCCATCACCCAGTTAACCATTAAATAATGGCCAGTCATGTTTCTTCTTCATGCCCACACACTTGCATTAGGTTATCTTGAATTATAAGTAAAAAATAACAGTACTTCCTCAATATCATCAAATAGCTAGTTTTTTAAAAAATTTCCTCAGTTGTGTCCTGGCTGCTTTTGCTACAGTGGTTTCTTTGATCTATATCTAAACAAGATCCATGAGTTGTATTTGGTTAGACGACTCTTAGAGGTTCTTAGTCTTTCTATCGATCAGTCAAAGAAACCTAGTTATTTGTCCCGTAGATTTTCTTACTGTCTGGATTTTTCTGATTGACTGCATCTTTTTGGTGCCATTTAAAATGTTCCTTTGTCCCTATATTTCCTATAATCTAGTAGTTACATACAGAAGTTTGGTGTGATTGCGCTTTTTTTTCCCCTAAGACTGCCTCACTGGTGATATTAGGTCCTACTACTAGGAAGCCCATATTCTAGATGTCTCTTTTTATAATTCTTGTAGCCATCAAGGATCATCACCAAGATCCTTTATTGCCATCAGGGGTTTATGAAACAGTGACTTTGTCATTTCATCATTTCTAACTGATTAGCTTGAATATACACACACACAGAAAAAGATAATTTTTCCTCATTAACTATTTACTCTGAAATATGTTTCATAAAAGAAGAGCACCTCGAATGCTTATGTCCTTTCCTTTATTTGCCAGTTTTCATGATATAACTATAATGTTTCCAAAAGTGATCACTGATTTTTTTTTTTCCTTTTGGTATCATGAACTCACCAACTTTCATATATTAGATGCATTTCAATATTCATTTATTATTCTTATTGATATGAAAATTATCCCACCTTTGGATACAATCTACTCCAGTGAGAATAGTTTCAATATGGCCCCTGTGTTGTTTTGATATGGGCTTAGTAGTCTTTAGTAGTACTAGTACTACTACTAGTACTTAGTAGTACTAAGTTCAAAGACTTAGTAGTCTTTAAAAGACCACTTGCTCTATGCCATGAACAATATGAGAATTTGGGCTGAGAACCTTAACTCCAATGTCATTAACATCATTACTTATTTTTATGGTCCCTCAACATATGTATTTATATATGTCAGTATTATTAATAAAAATATGATTACTGAAAACAGGTTAAAATTTAATTTGTCATTGTTTTTTGTGCTTGGGATAGTCAAATCATGGTTCTTAAAAGTCATTTAAAATAATTCCTCTCTCTAAGCCACAAATTCAATATAGGATTAGGTTCATTTGTTTTTTATTTAGAATTTTTAGGGATCATTTTTTATTTTTGTTTAATTCTGTTAAAAATAAGTAAAATTTACATGGTTTTAAAGCCAAATCTAAAAAGGAGGTCTATTCAAAGAAGTCTGTTTCCTCTCCTTTTTCACTTTGCTCATTTTGCCCCATATGTATTCACCTATATTAAAACACAAACATCTATTTCTACCCTTAGATAAATGACATCCTACTATGTACATTTTTGTCTACATACATTGGGCTTTTTTCACTTCTACCATATCCTGGAGATCATTCTGCAGAAGTATAAAGAGATGCATTTCAACTTTATGTAGTTACACACTGTTTCATTGTTTGGATTTACCACGCATTATTCAATCAGCCCCCTCGATGAGCATTAGGGTTTACAGCTTTTTTATAATATAGAAGTTTTATAGTGAATGTGGATTCGTAAGTCAGTTTACAGCTAAGTGTGTGTCTCTGGTACAGATGTATAGGAATGGAATTGCTGGGTCAAAGGGCAAATACATATATAATTTTACTAGTTTCACCAAATTACCCTCCACAAATGTGCTATTTCACAAATGCATATTTAATTGCACAAGGAGAGGCTGTATAAATATAGAGAGAGTAGAATTAAAGACTAAATATGATCTAATGTCAACAGATACAAAGAATTATCTAAAATACTAATTGCATTTTAAGTTACCCTTCCCGTTGATAGCTATTCATTCACAGAACAGCTCTGTCTTGATGAGAGCTTCCGTAACAAGATAGTATTTGCCAAATCTAATCCATTATGATTAGATGATGCAAAATTATTGATATTCAAACACATTCTCTTTTATAAAGGGGTAATATCTAGGAAGCCAGCTTGCTTCCACATGATTCACCTTTTCATTGAAAACTTAACAGGAGTAAAATTATAAATTTGTTCGTTGTGCATACCTCACAGTAGACATTAGCCCTTTTCATCATAAGCCATAACCTATACATTATGAAACCATCTCAGAAAGTCACTAACTTTTAGACTAGAGAATAATGAAATTTTAAAAACATCATTTTAAATACTTAGATTTGCTTTTTAATGGTGTCTTATCATGGATTGATATTACACTCCTTTGGTTTAAAGCTGTTGAGTGATTTGCAGTGAGATGACTGAGAAAACCCAAAGTAATAGTCTAAAGACTTCTTAAACCACTGCTGCTCTTTATTGATATAATGAGGGGAGAATTAATTTTAAGAGGTGGTGACTATTGATTACTTAATGGCAGAAGATAGTGTTGAGAAATGCTGAAGTGAGCCTATTCTGTGCCCTCCTGGGCAATAGGACCCCATTATCCAGTGGAGGAAATCATGCCGTAACCCTCATTAATATTTAATAGGCAGGACGCAGGCTGGATGCAAGCAGCCAAATTGCCCTAGGCATAGGCTCCAATAGGCCATCAGAATGTTTCGAGTATATAAAAGAGTAACAGATTTCCCTGGGTTCAGATTGTTTATAAGTAGGACAACAGTACACTCAATTCCCTTTTGTGATCTCTGGGCCATGATGGCCTCATGGAAATGCCTACTAGGCGAGCTAAAGCGGTTAAGGCTCTGGGAAGTCATTCTAGGTTAGTAAGCCCTGCCTGGGAAGACTTAGTATTTTCCAGTGTGGTTCTCAGTTTCAGCCCTACTCTTTCTGTCTTCTCGCCACAAGCTGAAGGGCTTGTTCAGCAGGGGTGGCGAGTCAGCAAAAGGCGTTAATTGTGTCTAACACAGCCATCATCCTTGGGGCGATATTACGTATCACACCGTCTATCAAGCTAACCCCTTGTCACACGTCAGGATCTTTTTATTTGGGCTCATTTAAAAGGGAAACAAGGAGTTTTAAAGATAGCTGGTGGAGAAACAAGACTGTAGGAGTGCTTGTAAGAAGGAGGAGCCTTTCAAGCTGACTTGCACTAAACGGGGCTGTGGCTTCTGAAAGGACAAGACACGGTTTTATAAATTACTGGCTCCCTTTGTTAACTTTTCAAATTACCAGGTTATTTTTCAGTACCAGCAGCTTATTCTGAAAATATTGTAAGCTTGGAATGAAATTAAGTTCTTGAGCCAGAACATATTCTTGGGATTTATGGCTACATAAAGGACACAACATCAAGATACCCACCACTCCAAACAATGTATAAAATTAAACAGATAGTGAAGAAATAGCCATTTCTTTTTTTTTACTCAATGACTCTAAAGATTATTGAGAATGTACTTAGGAGAATCATTTACTGTAACATATGAGGAATTATTTATAATTACCTGCCTAGAAAGAGTTACATAAGAATAAAAATTTAGCTTTGTAGGCAGAAAGTATCCAAGGGAATAAGTCTTCTATTAACATATTGAGCTTTTTCTGAAAACCAGTGAATGAAATTGACCCAGAGGTCTCATTGTAATTCCATGCTAAGTGTGGACAAATTCAGTTTTACTTCCAACCTTAGACTGGGCATGCCTAAATGCTGCTTTTAATTTATTAATAGCTCTATGTGTATGCCTTCTCTGACACCAAGTAGAAAGTCTCAAATTATTATGTTATCAATGATAAATGGATTTGTGTTCATTTTTGTTTTTTTGGCAAATACAATCTTTATGCGGCATACTGCAGTGGCTCTACTCAGATTTTTTGTTTGTTTCGTTGTTATTTATTACTTGGTTGGTTAGTAATACATGTCATCCCATCGTGGAAATCGGTTGGGGCTAGCTTGCTTCAAGAAGGCTTAGCTTAGAATTCATAGATTCTTCAGCTGCCATTCCCAAGAGCAGACGTAACACTATAAATTGAAAATAATTTAATAGATTTTCTTCAAGGTTCTAAACACTATAACATAAAACTTATGAAGGCATTTTGTCAACTGTAAATATTGTAATGTTAATAATAGTTATACCTTCAATGCCTTTAGATATTCCAGAGAGAAGAGCTTTTTTAATCCTATATTTGCAAATATACTGATGCTTATGGAGCCATAATCTAATATATTTAGCAATTTTTTCAGTGAAAGTCACAAATCCTAAATGTCCTTTCCTTTCCTTTCCTATTTTATAGCGCAGCAGCAGTTTTGGGAATTTTGATCGTTTTCGGAATAATTCCATTTCAAAACCAGATGATTCAACTGAGGTTAGTATTTTATTACAATTTTATGGATGTTATGAAAGCACATTAGGAAAATTTATGAAGTCAATATCACTTTTGCAAAATACCATAAGAAAAATAAGTATATTTAAAAATCGCAGTCTTGCCTATATTTTTGTAATAAAGGAACAAAGAACTACTTAGTACCTAGTTACCATGCTGGGTATTAAAAGTAAAAAGCTCTCTAAGAAGCCTAACACTAGGAAAAGCAGAACATGAACTTAAGAAGAGAGTTAAGATTTAAAGGAACACAAATAACCCCAAATTTTCTGAGCAGTTCTACCATAAAAGAATATATATATTAAATTTTATGTAAATGGTAATTGCATTAATTTAATTTAATGATTAAATGGCTTAGTTGTAAATTTGTCAAGGACAGCATATGGTCGTTCAATTGCACTCGAACTTCTGCCATATGCATTGAAATGCCTCATAGGTGACTATTACACCCACGTTTGCAAACCAGGAACACTTCAAATGTAGCTTAAGGAAAGCTTCCCATAAAATGAAGTCTATATAAAAATAATGGTAATAATAATAGTATCTACATTTAATTGAACACTTACCATGATACAGGAACAACACTAAAGACTTTACCTACCTCTAATGTAGGAACTATTAGTATTATTATTTTACCAATGAAGAAATAAAATTACTTCTAAATCACACAGTTAATAAATGACAAAGGCAGAACTCAACATCTTGTCTAACTCCAAGTTTGCATTTCTGTTACACTATCTCACAAACCACAGGCCAACTGTGATGTGATTAATGAAAGGTTTGACACCTGATCAAATAGTAGGGAGGAGGGATATATATATACACACACACATATATGTGTGTGTGTGTGTGTGTGTGTGTGTGTATAGACAAAATTAAAACTACGTGTTTATCATTGAACCTGATTCAGCAACTCCACATGTGAAACATTTTAGACCAATAGGTTTCAGATCTCATGTATTTCTTAATTATTCATTCTCATTATTATATGTTTTATTTTTTATAAAGAATTTTTCCTGGTATAATTTCTCAATATACTTTTCAGATTCCTGTGTATATATACCTATAATATTTTTAAATATTGGTATTTCAGTAATGGCTATTCTAAACAAAAGAAATGAAAACAAAATGACATCTAGTATTACTTTACAAATACATCCATTAGTACACTTACATGCGTGTGTGTATAATACATCCCCTTTTATACATATGCATGTTATTTATATCCCCTTTTATCCATCTACATATTTATATACACATGCTTAAACTTGTAAATAGCTATATAGTCTATCCACATTTGTTTAGTTTTAAATAAGATAATATATGTATATAAATAGTGAGAAACCCTATATAATTTTCAATTAACATCTTACATAAATCTTTCTCTTTCCATAATCACATATAGATTGTAGATTCTACATAGTAGAATCTGTTATTTAGTTTATAATTCAGGGTTAACCTGTAAAAGTAGCTCAGGTTCACTCGGGTTCATTTATTAGTAATGGTGGCTTAGTAATTTGTGAAAGAATTTAGCAAGCCTGAAAAGGTAGTTCACACGTTTTTCACAATGCATCATTCATTCATTCAACTAGTATTTCTTGAGGACCTACTCTATGACAGGGTTTCCATTAGGTACTCAGAAATTACTGTTGTAATAATTGATGAAAATCCCTACTTCATGAAGCCAAGAGTATAGAGGGAGAGACAGATTATGAAAGAGAACAGCACAGAAAAATGTGAAAGTTGAAAATATGCTGAGGTAGTTTCTTTGAAATGTCTGTAAAAAAATGATAGAGAAACTTAAAATTTAAAATATTTGTGATACTGGGGGGCCTGGGTGGCTCAGTTTGTTAAGCCTCTGCCTTTGGCTCAGGTCATGATCCCAGAGACCTGGGATCCATTCCCGCATTGGGCACCTTGCTCAGTGGGGAGCCTGCTTCTCCCTCTCCCTCTACATGCCCAACCACCACCCCCACCTTGTTCTCTCTGTCTCTGTCAAATAAATAAATAAAAATCTTTTAAAAATATTTGTGATACTTTTTTGAAGCTTAGGCAATGGTTATTTAACACAGATAATAATAAAATAATACACTTTTTTGGGGGGGTTAGTTTATAATTTTACAGGGAAGATAGAGCTTAAATAGAAAGAAGAGAGAAGAAAAAAGCTAACTTTAAAAATTTAAAAGGTTTCCAAGTTATATTTTATTCAGGGCTTTTGAATTAAGCAAAGAATCTTTGCCTTTTATAACCTTAAATGTAGAAATGAATAAAGTTCAATGAGGACTCCAATCAGCTGTCCATTCATATTTATCACAGGCAATTTGGGGTAAGATATGAAGTAAAAAATAATATTGATTAATAATTTTGTTAACTATGTGGTTAAACCTTCATATTAAAATATTCAAGGGGAGCCTGGGTGGTTCAGTCAGTTAAGCGTCTGACTTGACTTCGACTCATGTCACGATCTCAGGTTTGTGAGGTTGAGCCCATGCTGGGCCTGTGGGGAGTCTGCTTGAGACTCTCCTCCCCTCCCCCCATGCATGCTCTCTTTCTCTAAAATAAATAAGTAAATTTTTAATATAACAACAATAAAAATAAACTGTTCAAGTTAACTAAATAGAAGTTTCCCCTAATTTTTTTTTTTTTATTCAGGAAATGTCTGTCTGTCCACCCATCAAGAATGGTGGGCAATGCTAGACTAGATGACCCTTAAAAGTCTTTTCTTAAAAGCTAAGATATTAAGGATATAGAACCCAAGTAAGTCCTTTAAGAAAAAGAAATCACTCCAAATTTCTATATGAGAAGTTTTGCGTATTCAAAAAATATCAAGTGTCAGTGATATTCCTGGAAGTGTTCTAGACATGCAGAATAAATAAAAAATATAAAATCTCTAAGCTCATGGAGCATAATTTATCATGGGAGATGCAGGCAATAATCAACCAAACAAACAAACTTTGTATCAGGTAATGTTAAATACTTAGAATATATTACATGTGAATTACATGCCCATTTCTATACTAATGGCTAGACCATGTTCATAATTACTGTTGCCTGAGAATGTGGGAAATATGCATGGGATACTCACCTGCAAGAAGAAAACATTGCACTTCCTCAATGGATTTACTTAACTCCAAAACTTTTTAAAAAATGACCATTTCAATTTATATAAGAATCAAGAGGATATTTTAATGCCCCTTCAGCATGAATACATACTATAGCCTTTCTAAAACCCCCAATAAAATATCTCCCATCTACGTAGACTTAATCACTATTATGCTTATGATTTAATTCTATTTTGCCCATCTCAAAAATGGGAAAACTGGGGTGCCTGAGTGGCTCAGATGGTTAAGCGTCTGCCTTCGGCTCAGGTCATGATCCTAGAGTTGTGGGGTAGACTCACTTTGGGCTCCCTGCTCAGTGGGGAGCCTGCTTCTTCTCTCTCTCCAGCACTGTCTCTCTCTCTAATTAATAAATAAAATCTTTTTTTTTTAAATGGGAAATGTGGCTCTACTGTACAGCTATTTAAAGAATAACTAAAATTCTTTTAAAAATTTTTAGATGTGAAGCTCAGGTCCTTCAACATCACAAGTTTTATTTTCTGAGTTTGTAACACATGGCACCAGGCTTGGACAACATTAAAAATATGTATTCTATCCATATTGAAGTTTGGAGGCTGCTATACACAATATTTAGGAAGCCCACAAATTCGGAATCTTCACTTTAATAATGTTTTCAGAACAATGATTTTTATTGCTTTATTATTCTGTCTTTTGTTAACAATTCTAATTAGGTATATGAAGGGGAACCCATAAATGAAAGTGGAGAACAAAATAAAACTTCGAATAGTGGAGGAGGATTAGGGAAAAAAATGAGAGTTATTTCCTGGACAATGAAGAAAAAAGTGGGCAAAAAGTACATCAAAGCCCTTTCTGAGGAAAAGGTAAGTGTACTCTGCCAATCATTTGTATTTTTCTATTAATTTTTTTCTTAAAATAGCCAACAGATTCTTCTAGACATAGAATTACTTGGTCCTTTAGGAAGGACTTCAACGTCTATTTTTTCCCTTAATAATTGTGCCCAGGAACTAGATAGGAAAAAAAAAGCATTATTACTCCTATGTTAATAGAGGAAATGGAGGCTCAGAAAGATCACACATGTAGTATGTGGAGAATGGTATGTCATATGTTGTAACAAACATCAGTACTTCATTTCTTTTTATTGCCAAATAATATTCCATTTTATACATAAACTATATTTTATTTTTCCTTTCATCAGTTGATATACATTTGAGTTGTTTGCACTTTCTGGCTATTGTAAATAATGCTGCTATAAATATTTAGGAGTTTTTGTTTCTCTCTGGTATATGGTAACTATCTGATGTTTTGAGAACTTGGCAACCTGCTTCCCAAAGCAGTTGCATCATTTTACATTCCCACTAGCAATGTGTGAGGGTTCCAATTTCTCCACATGCTTGCCAACACCTGTTACTGTCTTTTTGATGCTAGCCTTCCTATTACTAGTGGTTATGAAGTAGAATTTCGATGTGGCTTTGATTTACACTTCCCTAATGACTAATGATGTTGAGAATCTTGTTGTGTTCTTATGAACCATTTGTATATCTTCTTTAAAGAAATGTTTACTCGGGGGGACCTGAGTAGCTCAGGTCATGATCCCAGGGTCCTGGGATCGAGCCCTGTATCGGGCTCCCTGTTCAGCAGGTGAGCCTGCTTCTCTCTCTCCCTCGGCCTCCAGCTCTCTGTGCTTGTGCTTGCACTCTCTCTGTCATATAAATAAAATTTTTAAAAAATATTTACTCAAACCTTTTGCCCATTTTTTAATTGTTTTATTTGGGATTTTTTTATTATTGACTTTTAAGCTTTTTAAAAATATATCCTGGATGCAAGTACCTTATCAGATATATGATTTGCAATATGATATATTTTCTCCCATTCTGTGGATTGTATTTTCACTTTTTTGATGGTATCATTTGCAGCACAGATGTTTACAATTTGATGCAGCCTGATTTATCTATTTTTTGTCATTTGAGCTTTTAATATTATCATTCAAAAACTATTGTTTAATCTCAGTTCACAAAGATTTACTCCTGTGTTTTATTCTAAGAGTTCACAGTTGTAGCTCTTAAATTTTGGTGTATGCTCTACTAATTTTTCTATGGAGTGTAGTAGGAGTCCATCTTCATTCTTTCAAATATGGATATCAAGTTGTCATAAAAGTTGTTAAAAGGTCAATTATTTTACTATTGTCTTTTCTTGGCACCCTTGCTGAAAATCAATTAATAATAAATACATGGTCATAATTATATGGGTCATAAATACATGGGTTTATTTCTGACTCTCAATTCTGCTACATTGATCTGTAAGTCTTAGTCCATTCACTTTTTAACCCACTAGGACTTCCATCCCCAATAACTCATTAAAACAGGAGTCATAATTGGTATTAACCTCTGTGTTGCTGAATTTACTGGTCACTTTTCTTACTTCTTATATTACTTTTCAATTACTTATATTACTTGTATTTGACACAAGTGATTATTTCAATACATTTGAAACATTCTTTCTTGGTTTCTTTAACAGGCATTCTTCTGGCTTTCTTCCTCAGAGTTTCCTTTCTTGGCTTTGCCTTCTTTCTTGTCTCTAAATATTGAGTCTTTCCAAGGCTTATTCCTAGATGCTCTACTCAGTCTACTCTTCCCCTCAGTGATCTCATCTAGTCTCATCACTTTGTTTTTTGCAATTACATCTCTAGCTATGATATCTTATCCGTTGTACTTGAACAACCAGTTGTGTATTCATTATCATCACTTATATGTACACTAGTTATCTGGGACCCAGTATATCCCAAACTGAATTATTAATTCTCTATGCTTTACCAAAAACACATGTTTCTTGTCTTTCTTGTTTCTTACTAGTCTTCCCAGTAGCGATAGACAACAACTGCCATAACTCTAGATGCAAGGAAGGAAAGAAGAGAAGAGAAAAGGAACGAATAGAACAGAGAAAAAAAGGAAAGAAAAGAAGGATGGTAGGAAGGAAGGAAGTAAAGAAAGAGGAAAGCCTAAGAATCATTCCAAATTGCTTTTTTTCTCTCACTTTTCACACCAATTCATCAGCATATTCTATTAGCTCAAACTCCAAAATCTTATCTAAAACCCACAATTTCTCTATGTTAACTATTCCTGCTTTTAGATCAATCAACCAACCAACCAAAAACAACTTCTCTTGCCTAGACTGCCATAATAACCACCTAATTGGTCATCTTTCTTCCATCCTTTCCTCCATAAAAGCCATTCTCCACACAGAAGCTGGAAAGATCTTACGTGGAATTTCAGAACACATCATGCCCCTTGCTTAAAGTTTTACAATGCCTTCACAATGCCTTCACTTACTATAGTATGTTCATTCCAGTCCTTTGAGAAACAGATCCTAAGAAAGCAAAGGACACACCAAAGATTATTGGGGAAAATTAACGTGAAGGATAGATAAAGAACTGGATAGGGAAAGCCTTCTGACAACAGTGCAAGTTTGACACCTGGGAAAGGAGAAGAAGAAAGCTTTAGCCAGATTGGCAGATAGTCCTTGAACCAAAGTTTTCCATTAGAGGGACCCTATATCCCACCAGAATGGACTCAAATGGTGCCCTCACTGTTTCAGTCATTGGCAGAGAGCATGGCTTCCATGCACAGTGGTGGATTTAGTAGCTGGGGCTGTCCGTAAAGAAGGGTCTCACAGCAAAATATCTGAGTGACACATTCCATGACCACCACACATGGTCTATAAAGCTCTTACTGATCTGGCTCCAGTCTACTCTGAGCTCACTTTCTTTTCTTTCTCTTTCTTTCTTTCTTTCTTTCTTTCTTTCTTTCTTTCTTTCTTTCTTTTCTTTTCTTTTCTTTTCTTTTCTTTCTTTCTTTTTTAAGATTTTATTTATTTATTTATTTGACAGAGAGAGAGAGAGAACAAGCAGGGGGAGCAGCAAAGGGAGAAGCAGGCTCTCTGCTGAACAGGGAGCCTGATATGGGGCTTGATGCCAGGATCCCAGGATCATGACCCAAGCTGAAGGCAGATGCTTAACCAACTGAGCCACCCAAGCACCCCTCTGAGCTCATTTTATGACACTCTCCTTGATCTCATTCAGCTCCAGCTACCTTGACTTGGTCTTTCCGCTCATAAGCCAAGCTAATTCTGAGTTATTTTGTTCTTGCTATTCCTTTTGCTTGGAAAACTGCCTCCAGTTCTTCATAAAAGTTACATCTTAAGGTCAGAATTCAGAGTCAAGAATTCAGAGCATATATTACCCTATAGCGAAGGTCGAAGGTCTTTGGAGGCTATTCCATCGAAATCAGCCAACCTTCCCCCCACCCTAATCCTAGCAGCTAATCCTCTCACATCTCTCAGTTTTATCTCTTTCATAGCACTTGTTCCCTGAAATTTCCTTTTGCGTTTGTTTACACACATATCTCCAAACACTAACACACACACACACACACACAAACCCTAACACACTAAAATGTTTATCTTATTAGAGCAGGGACCCTGTGATCTTGTTTACCAAGGTATCCCCACCAAAACAGTGTCAGGTACTTACAAGGTGTTCTCTAAACTTGTGTTGAATGACTAAACAAATGAATAAAGGAATGGATAAAAGGAGAGAATCAAACTGAGTATATATCATGTATGTATTCTGAAGTTTTATTAATGTTTAGAAATGCTCATAAATGAGGAATATTGAATTACATTTTGGTGAATATTAAGGAATTTATAGGTTTTGTCCAAACTATCTAAATATGGAAGACCTTTGAGATGTTTTCAAGCAGATGTAATTTGTTTTGAAATTGTCTATCTTTCCTAATTTTATGCAGGATTTGCTTTTCACTTGACTAGGTGTGCAAGCTTGGTATGAGATTTGTAAAGCTTCTTAGATAAGCTTTGCTTTAGAATTGCAAAATGTGCATGTTTTATTCATATCTAGTGATCTGGTAAGGTGCAAATAACTGACATGAAACAACGATGCAGAATTTAAACTTGTAATATCAGATCTCAAAGGATTAGTAATGGTGGTAAATAGATGATAAGGAGAACATGAAGAAATGAAAGTGCTTTAACAGATAAAGCATAGATATTAATAAATCTAACACTTCTGATTAATCAGTATCAATATGCTATTCATCCTAACTTATAAAGTGAATTATGATGATTTCATTTGAATTCCATAATGTGGAGTGTTTCATCTAAAAAATTTTTCCAAGTATACATGTTTTGCTAGAAATTGAACTAAAGAATAATGACTCTCATATTTTATGCTGATGGATTCCTAAGTATTTTATTGCTAAAATATGTCTTGTTTGTTCCATCAGTGCACACAGTGAGTATCTCCATGGAAATCAGTTCTCTGCACTTAACCTCTGATATGTTTTTTCTGAAGGATGAGGAGGATGGAGAGACTACCCTCCCGTATCGGAACAGTGACCCGGTGATTGGATCTCACACAGAGAAGGTCTCCCTCAAAGCCAGTGACTCCATGGATAGTCTCTACAGTGGGCAGAGTTCATCAAGTAAGCCTACAGAATAAGGGACGAAATTGTAACTGGGAGGGCTGAGTTAAGTTAACTAAAAACAGCAGATTTTAACTACAGAGAACAAACTGATGGTTACCAGAGGGAAGGTGGGTGGGGAGATGGGGGACATGGGTGATGGGGATCAAAGAGTGCACTTACCATGATCAGCACCGTGTAATGCACTGAAGGGTTGAATCACTATACTGAACACTTGAACCTGACATAACACTATATGTTAGTAATACCGGAATTCACATTTTAAAAACAATTAAAAAAGAAAAAAGAAACAAATTCAAATGAAAACCAACAACAACAGATTTGCTTCTCTGGGGCTTTCAAATTAGCAAAAAGTCTCCAGATACTTGATAAGAAAAATAGTGAAAATGTAGGATTGCTGAATCCGTAGAGTTGCTGTTGTTTAAAATGATACACAATATATTTGATAGAATTATGTATTATTTTGAAACTTCTAACACTGTAGTTGGCAGGGCTCTTGGGGATATGCCTCAAAAAAATCATCTTGGGAGACGAAATCTGCATCCCTAAAATAAAATTGTTTGCTTAGGAGAACTAGCATTATCTTGAGTCAAAATCCTAAGTGACTTGACATAGTCAGATAAATGAAATCCTGTCCTCTGTCTCTTATTCTGTCCATCCCTTCCTCCTTCCTTTCCTTTTCTCATTATTCCTCCTTTTTTTCTCCTTCTTCTTTCTTCCTTCCTTCTCCTCTTTTTCCTTCTTTCTTCCCTCCCTCCTTTCCTTTGTTTCTTTCTTCTCTTTCTTTTTTCTCTCTCCTGTCCCCTCTCACTTTTTTCCTTCCTTTCTGTTCCCTTTGGCCTGAAGTATTCTGAAAAGGGAGAGACATACGCATCACTTCTCACATTCACTTTTTAGGTGTCCCTCCAGTATGAGTGAGTAAAGAATGAAATACTATGTAAATACTAAAGAGAAGGAATATGGCCAGTTAGGTGACAGGAAGGAAGCAGCATGTGTTCAACAAGGATTTTCTAAAACCATTGTTTCTAAGAAGGAAGTCATTCAGGTTTTAGTCACATATCCTGCTATCTGGAAGAAACTACTGATACTGCAGGGGGCCTTTTAACTTTTTTATGTGTACACTGTTATACATTCCTCTGATCTTTTCAGGGCTTTTAAATGTTTTCTTTTTTTGCAAGGTTTATTTGCCATTTCCTTTTTAATCAACTGCTTCTGTTACTTGAAGATAGATCGCAAATACCAGATGTTTCAGATATCCTGAATTTTATTCCTACTTTTCCTATTGGCTGAAGAAGAGTTATTTTGTGAAGAAAGGAGAAAAAAAACTAATGTAGAAACATTTGAAGGATATATTTTTGCATGTGTGAAATTCAGATTTCATTAGTATTCACTTCTGCTGGAAGTTTTAAAATTCTAAATTGTAATGCTGAATGTGGGTAGAATTTTATTAACTGGGATGTACCATGAAAAGCCAGGGCCAGGGGTGGCCATGGAAGGAAGGTGTAAGGAGATGGTGGCCCACTTATCTGTTGTCATATACAACTTAATTTTTGCGATTACATGCAACTCACCCTTTCTTACAATGGTTCAGATTCAATATGTTAAGGTTCTTTACCTTATCTCCATAATTATTTGATTAAATAGTAGAGAAACCAGGGTTGTTTCATCATTGAACAGAGCACTGAGAGGCCTCACTGAAGGAGAAAGTGGAAGTAGTGGAGAGTGGTGAGAGTGGTGGAGAAACTGAGAGCTACTTCCACTGGAAGCCATTCTTACCACCCCCCCCACCCCACCTCTTGCAAGCAGGAAAAAATGGAATCTCTTCTTTCTCTCCCTTGAGGTCCAAACTCAGAAGGAAAAGGACCAGAGAACAAGGATTCAGAGTAATTTAAAAAGCCCAGTTTAGAAAGTTTAGAACCACAAGGAAGGACAGACACGGGAACCACTTTCTCTTTGCTTCAAATTCACACAAGCAAAAGTGCTACCTTTTATGCATAGAGATGTTACTTCAAAATGGCTTTTGGTATGTAATAGGATGTTTGAGAGAGCATTCTAGCTACATTGTGATAAGAATAGGGAACCCTGTAGTCTGATGCTTTGACCATTTGTGATCCGTAGTACATAAGGATCAAACTGTTGCTATAGGTTTTTGTCTTTGTTTACAGGTACGAAATTAATTGTCTGGCCTGCACAAGGAGTTAAGTCTGTATTGTTTGTCTCTTTAGCAAGTAGCAAAACACTTTGCTACTGGGTCAGATCACAGAGACCAAAGTGAGAGGGTGTTTGGGTTAGTGGTTGAGGAAAGAATGGTCAGATTGGCTCAAGAAAGTACAGAAATGGCTCAGAGGACAAAGGCCACTGATGGAGAGTGACTGGGAGTCAGAAAAAAATAGGAATCCATCATTTAGAGCTCCCTCAAAAGGTTGGCGTCCAGTGCTTCAGCATGATCCCCGCTTAGCTCTATCCAGATGGTGGTTCAGAATGTTACGAACTTTCAGTGAGGATTGTTAACCTCTGCTTTGCTTTCATCAGGTGGAATAACAAGCTGTTCAGATGGTACAAGTAACCGGGATAGCTTTCGACTTGATGATGATGGCCCCTACTCTGGACCATTCTGTGGCCGAGCCAGAGTACATACTGATTTTACACCAAGCCCCTATGACACTGACTCCCTCAAAATCAAGGTGTGTACACGTCATAGCTGCATTCTGTCTGGTTTGTCTAGCACTGGTTGTATGGTCTGTGTCAGGAAGTGCAAGCAGTGGGAACGGGGGCGGGGGGGTGGCGGTGAGTGGGTTCTCCCCAGCACTAGAACGCAGGAATGGGTTCTGTGACAAGAATATGAACAAAACAAAACACTTGAGGTGGGCTAGGGGAATTGGTCTGTTGAGGCTATAGCATAAGTTGCTGTTATGTAGATAATGCAGATTCTGAGCCTGTCTGGGGAGAAGAAATTGTCTACATTTTTCTGAAAACCAGAAGCCTCACAGGTTACTGGAGGTGTCTAGCTCTGCCTGCTACTTCCTGGATTAGAAGGAGAGAGAGAAAAGATGGCGCTATCAGGCAAGAGCCCCTCACAGCAACTCCCTTGGGAACCAGCCTTGGCTGGGCAACTTCAGTACTTAAGTTGTGGGCTATGAATAACCAGACATCTTTCTCCCAGTGATATTCCCTCCTGAATTCCCTCTTCTTACCTCTGATTCTCTATACTCGTTTTCTATTGCCGTGTAACAAATTTCCACAAACTCAGGGACTTTAAACAACACAAATGCATTACCTCACAGTTCTATAGGTCAAATATTTAGTCATGGCCCAACTGCATTCCCTGCTTAAGGTCTCACGGGGCTAAAATCAAGGTGACAGCTGGGGCTGTAATCTTACCTGGGGCTCAGGGTCCTCTTCCAAACTCACAACTATTGGCAGAATTCAGTTGCTTGTAGTTGTAGGACGGAGGCTCCTGCTTTCTTGCTGGATGTTGCCTGGGAGACACTCTCGGACCCTGGAGGTTGCCAGCCATGGTCCTCTCTACAACATGGCAGCCTGCAGGAGAAAAGTTCACTCATGTTTCAAATCTCTTTATTTTTAAGAGCTCCTACCTAATAAAGTGAGAAACACCCAGATAACCTTCCTCTTAATTACAAAATTAACTAATTTGGGACATTAATTACATCTGCACAGTCCCTTGTGCCATATAATACAACATAATCGTGGGTGTGAAATCCATTGTTTTCATGGTCCTACTCACACAAGAGGGGAGGTGCTGTTGCAATCATATAACTAGAAGGTTTGGTGCTGAAGTATTTTATACATGTTAAATTATTCCTTTTAGTAACACAAACTGGTATAGCTAAAAGGACAGAAATTATGACTTTTCTCTACTATCATCACCAAGCCAGTGTTAACCAGTAATTATGACAAGTTATGAAGTATTGATGTTATTATTTAACATTCAAGACACTCTGCTCTTCTCTTTATCCCTTCTTTTGTAACAAATCAGACTAAGCTCAGCGGGAGAATGAGGAAAACGTTATTTTCCATAGTTAGCTCCTTAGTCATTTCTATGAATGCTTTGAAATTTAAGTTTAAGTCTTGGGGAAGGAATATTTGCAGCCTAGTAACCACTGTTGGGGGAGGGTGTAGAAGGGAATAAATTGAACACATTTAGGCTCGGGAGAGCTTTTCGCCTTTCCTATAATACCATGTCAGTGCCCCACCACTTGTGGTGTCTAAGGTGATATTTGTAGAGCTCTTGTAGGACACAGTAAGAATCCCACAGTTACCACTGGGGATTGAATGCCATTGTTTATATCAAGGGTCTTATCCGCAATGAAACTGGGTCTTCGCTGGTGACCTGTGGGCTTTCCCGGAATGTATACTTTTTTAAAAGTTTAGAGGATAATAGGAAAGATGCAGCAGAGAGCTCCCATGCTTAGAAACTTCCCCTAGAGCTTCTGGGGATTTCCTAGGTCTGCTTAGCTGATCCCACCTAGCCCAGATTCAACTCTCCACAGTTAAAGGCAGGAAGAACTAGACGAATAGCTTATAGGGTCAGACAGGCAGATGATCACAAATCAGAAAGATCAAATCTTTTAATCACACTGAATCCTACTATTAAAAATACATTGTGTGTTTTAGATGGAAGAATACACATTCGTAGAAAGTGAGGAAAAAACATTTTTAGTAGCCAACTTAATGTTTTGTTTATTTGAGTGTAGTCCCCTGTAAAGGCAACAATATCAGAACCTATAATGTCCTCTCTGGGGTAGAAATTATAAGTCTCAAAGGAAGAAATATGACTTCTAAATGTAGGCACTGTTATTTGGGTAGAAATCAATTTTCTTTACAAAGAAGTACCGCGGGGGTTTTCTACTCTTGCCAGTAACTGGCAGCCTGTAGCCAATTAGAGTCTTAGATGTGAATAAAGAAAAAGACCAACTGGTTTGTCCATCCTAATGTGCTTCATTCATCTTGTGACCCAAACATTGTTGTGAAGCTCAGGCTAAGTATTATCTTCTCTAAAATAATTCAGTAGCATAATTTGTCCTTGGTGCACACACACATACTTTTGTTACATATTTAGACGTACAAAGGTCTAATAGTTTCGTTATTTTAGAGGAATGCAACACTTTAGATGGTTTCTTTTTTACTGTAGATAAGTTTTTCAGATGAACTAGAATCATGGACAGAGATAGAGTTCTTTTTCTTTCCTTTCCCCATGTGGGAACCCCTCCAGGAATGATGGCTTGAGCTTTGCTATATGTCTATTGCTTTGACAAGATGAATGAAGAGGGCATCATTTTTTAGTTCAGACAACTGATTGCCAGTTGCTCTGGGAAGTTATTTAATGTTACATTCCTTTTCTATAATATTTAGAATTATAAAGATACCTTGTATATGTACCTAAGTAATGTGTCATGGGCATTAAATGATTCACTATATGCAAAAGTACTTTGTAAATTCCATTGTGCCGTGTACGGATCATAAATACAAGTTCATAAATTGATATACCAAAACCATAAAGATGTCATCAAATGCATGTAGGACCTTTTCTTCAAGCTTGTTGAAGTGTTCTTCTTTATTACTAGCAAATAATTCCCTTGAACTTTTAAAGTAAATTTTCTCTTAGATTTATTTCTGCTATCAGTAACTTCCCTTATCATATTCCCTCATTATTCAAATTTCTGTGATTCCATTCTTTCTACTAATTGTCATAGCACCAAAGTTCTCTGAAAACTGATTGGTATATTTCTTTGTCTTTAGAAAGGAGACATCATAGACATTATCTGCAAAACGCCAATGGGGATGTGGACAGGGATGTTGAACAATAAGGTGGGAAACTTCAAATTTATTTATGTGGATGTCATCTCCGAAGAGGAAGCAGCCCCCAAGAAAATAAAGGCACACCGAAAGACTGGAAAGGAAAAACCCAAGACTCTACAGGAGTTCCTAGAGAAGATTCACCTTCAGGTTAGCAAACGTGTGACCTATTTGATTCTGGTTGTATCTGGGTGGGATAACTAAGGAGAAAGGATCGGTGTTAAAAAATATAGGGCTTACAGCAAAGGAAAATCTGCTTTCCAAGAAGACTTCTTATTTCTCCGTTATTACTTTTATTACACAAGGACAGGTCTTGATATAACCTCCTTTGGACTAAACTCTAATGGTACTTAGCAGTGACAGTAGAGATTAATGTTGAGAAAGTGCTGTGAAAAATGAGAAATACCTAGGAGAATAAGAGGTCTACAGAAAACATGTAAATGAGAATGATACAGAGAGTATGAGAGTAAAGGTAAAAATCCAGAGAATTGAAAGGAAAATATGGAAAGAAAATTACATTTTCTGTAGGGCAAAGATCAAAAGCAAGTCAAGAGAAGATAACTAAATATAATTGTTTCAAAAGCAATTTGTTAGGAAATAGTGGTCATTAAGTCCCCATGATGATTATGTTAAGGAAATTGTGTTGTCTGTATTTATAATCCAATTATTTTCTTGTTATATTAGCAAAATTTTTATGAAATATCTACCTTGTTCAATGGTGTGTACATGCAATTTACCTAGCCTCACTCAATTTACTGTTTCACAATCCATTTCTAATATTAATGCAGCAGTACTTTGAGAGTTTTCAAAACTCATCAAGGCAATGACCAATTAAACTTTCCTTAATTGTTTCTCCTGAATTATCTAGTTATACTCCTGTCTGTAGACACACGACCTAGGCCTTCCTATATTACTTTTGGTGCCCCCACCCCAGATGGGTACTGCCTGGAAGAAGTACAAGTTTCAAACCTGCTTCTTCTTTTTGTGTGTTCTGTGGCCTATGAGAAAACCAAGGTCTAAGGAAGTGAAATAACTTACTCAAGAACCCATAATCAAATGGTTATGTCAGAATGGGGACTTTGGTTTCTCGGTTCTAATTCAGTGCTCCTAAGAGACCTCATTTTTAAAAGAAGTGGTACTTTTTCTTTCTCTCTCTTTCTCACTTAGATTTTTTTTGGGGGGGGGAGGGTAAAAGGGGCTGGTAGTTATTCATGATTACTTAAAACTAAGGATATTGAAATGATGATCAAGTAAAACAGAAGGAAGTTTTGAGGAAGTTGTAAAGCGTTCAACTTCCCTTTGCATTTTGATTCTGTTAGAGAGAACAGAGGTTACGTAAATAACATACAGACTCGGAAATCAGGAGCCTGTGAATTTTAAATTAATACATATTGATGCAAATGATGCACAAACTATACATGCTGAGAAGAGAATACTTTAGGGAAAATATTTTTCCCAACCACAGTGCTTTTATAACCACAGTGGTTGATAAAAACTTCTAATTAAATAGAAAGTCTGGAATTCCTTAGGTTTATAAAATGACGTTCACCAAACGCTAAGTCTATTGTTCTGTGCCTGTTTCAAATTCATTTTTTAAACTATCCCAAGACGTTAGTGAGGGTAAATTATTTTTGCAAGCCAGCAAACAAGAAAAGATGTAGATTCAGAAATATTACTACAATTACTCTTTTAGAGGCATTTTATTGATAGACATAAGGACACGCTAGCTTTGTCGATTGAGCTATTTGAGAAGTGAAGAAATGCCAAGTGGGATGAATGATTCCGCTCTTTAATTGATCCATGATTTAGCACTGCATGGCTTAAGGTAATTATTTCTTCTTTACATTTGTCCTTCCAGAAGGTGACAATTCTCCAACATACTCTTATAAATGCCCTAGAGTTCATATGTGGAGAACTAGTACAGAGTAAAATAAAGTTAGGCAAAAGTTCTGTCGGTGCCTTCGGTGTCCATATGCACTTCTACACTTTCTTTAAACCTAAAGAGAACTCAAAATAAAATATTTGAATCTGACTAGTTTATATTATACATATTTTTCTCCCCCATAGGAATATACCTCAACACTTTTACTCAACGGTTATGAGACCCTAGAAGATTTAAAAGATATAAAAGAGAGTCATCTCATTGAATTAAATATTAAAAACCCGGAAGACAGGATGAGATTACTATCAGCTGCTGAAAATCTCCTTGACGAAGAAAGTAAGTGTGCACCCCTACTTTTCTCCTTAGCTGAAAATCGCAGTTCAATGTAAATAGTAAAATTATTAAAAACAAAGCCCCAGTTTTGTTTACGGAGAATCCTATCAAGCATTCTTTTCCATAAAATAAGTATTTTCTTATTTATTTGGAAACAACAACTCTGGTCAAGTCTATAATTAGGAAGAGGACTTTTTTCCCTTCCTGGACTCAGAAAATGGAGAGACTTTTCTGGGCATCTTATTTAGAGTCTGCGGAGCTTTATTAATTTATCCACAAGAGGATGTCTGCATTCCCAAAGACTGAGGGAGTTAGAGACAAATATTTAGTGACAGCATGAGCCATTAGTGAGAAATGTCATATGCAACTTTTGTAGAACAGCGCCGAGCATGGCTCTAAGCTAATGAGCCTTCGCCCCACACAGGAAAATTCATTTCATTACCATATAGTCACATCTTGTATGTGTTTATAGTATGCTTTCAAAATGTTATAATAGCTTGCAAAAATATTCAGCACTCACTTTTATTATCTGAGATGGTTCTCTGTATTTGTAAGTATAAACTGAAGATAGAGTAATGCGTGCACATTCACTTACTAACTGGGTTTGTAAAGACAGGATAGCTTTTGGCGCTACCACTGCCCGGTATGAACACTCCTCTCCCTGAATCTGGTCCGGCTTCTGAAACCCTGAGCTCAGGACGTACCAAACTCCTCAAGGAATATTTTGTAAGAAGAAAGAAGGATGTAGTGACTTTTTTTTTTTTTTAAGAATTTATTTATTTATTTGACAGAGAGAGATCACAAGTAGGCAGAGAGGCAGGCAGAGGGAGGAGGAAGCAGGCTCCCCGCTGAGCAGAGAGCCTGATGCAGGATTCGATCCCAGGACCCTGAGATCATGACCTGAGCCGAAGGCAGAGGCTTAACCCATTGAGCCACCCAGGTGCCCCGGGGTTTTAGGGACTTTTAAAGAAGAAAAAGAACTCAGATCATCTAATCCAGCTTTCTCGTTCAAAAATAATATTACTCATGATCATTAACTACTTTTTTGAACCTGTTCTCTGAGTCAAACTTTGAGCCAAGATCTTTACATGTACGATCTTGTTTAATGTGCTCCATGGTTTTGTGAGTTAAGAGAGTACTGTCCCGTGTTTATAATGAGAAATGGAGATATAAGTGACTCGTCCAAGCTCACACACATAGTGAATTGTGGAGAGCCGGGACTGGTGTTTGTGATGCTACTCTACTTTCTACAAATAACAGCCCAGATGGAGAGCAAGGAGGAAAGTTGTATTTAGGACCCAGGCCTCCTGACTGTCTCTCAGTAGGTTTTCCCACATCCAGTCTCAAATGCTCCAAAATGGGCAGAGTTACACAGCACATGTTTCTGCACTGGCCTTTTATCTAGCAGGAATAAATTTACTTTTTTGGAAACCACATCGCGCTTTATTCTTACTCGCTGTCTTGAGCTTGCATAGAGCTTTGTCCTCTCCAAAGAGCTTTCGCAAGTAAGGCTAATTTGACACCTGCAGAAGTTACCCCATTTTAGGTCCAGGCGTTCACGGGTGTTCTTTGATCTTGTGAGGAGAGGAGAGGGGGATGAGGTCAAAGAGGCAGACAAAGGTCAAGCGTAAGAAGGCAGCCAGTTTCCTCAATAGTACAAGCCAAACAGTCCTGATCTGCGTAAACTGACGTAGCAGAATCTCTGGGGTAAATGAGGCAGTTTCTTTCACATCTTGCCATTTCAAAATGTGGTTCCGCACTAAGTCATGTCAGGCTAAGGAACAGATCCTGTAGATTTCTTGGAATTGATAATGTGCCGTATCATTGTCAATACCCTCCAGAATAATTTGATGTTGAAGTGGAGGAAGGGAAAGGGGTATTTTTTGAGCACTTGTAAATACATTGCTTTTCTTCGATAATACCATCTATATAGGGATTTTGTCCATTTCACAGATGAGAAAACATTTCAGAGATGAATTTCAAAGAGGCCAAAAACAGCTAGCTAAGTAGCAGAGCTGAAGTTTTAATCAGAGGCAGTCTGCTATAAAAATCCAAGTTCTTTCTTCCACACATGCAAACTGGCAAATATAGAAAGAACAATGAATATCTGAAAATTGAAGTTTTCTACTGTGCCAGCTTTCTCAGGAGCGTCAGTTCAGTTTTCCATCTCAGAAAGTGGAAGTTCATACGTAAGTGAGAACAGAAACCTTGCAACAACATTACTGCCTGCAAGACAACTATGGCTGCATTGCAACAGGGCTGGTGGATAGGAAGGGCCAGAGAGCCTGGGTGAGAAAGGTTTTTAGCCATGAAAACAGTGATCAGTCTGGACCCACAGCAGGAAGATCGGTCCAGGGCTGGAGGCTTGGTCCGTGTGTGGTGTCCACTTAATTTCTTCATTCCCCCTCCCTCATCACCCCTCTCCTTTCTATGTTAGTGAAAAAGTAATGACGTATAGATAACAACATATATGAGAGCTAGGTGCAGTTTGAAAAACCATCTGACCCAAGTGCTTCCTTTGCGAGATGGGGAAACCAAAACCAGAGTAGCTAAGTAGCATTCTCAAGGTCACAAGTCTAAACCCAGGCTCCCACATCTATTAAAAACACATTCTACTGTACCCTGGAAACAAAACACAGTATCTCCAAAGCGCGATATAAAAAAGTACGAGTCCCCCAAATTATTTCCCTTATAAGACATTGGAAAATGGTATTTGAAGGTCACTAAAAATTGATCATTTAACAATAGCCGTAATGTACACATGGATACACACTGAGCCAAATGCTAGGGGATGAAAAACAAGAAAATGCCGATGCAACCAGTGTTTCTTGTCAACACGCAGCCCTGAGATTTTTCTTATTTTCATCTTACGGTCTAAAGTAGCATTAGAATATACATGTCAAAAAGATGTATATTGCATGTTAGGCTATTTTGACTGAAAGCTATTTATCTTATATGAAACTGCTTTGCTCAAGAAATAAAGAAGAATGACTTCTATTTGTTGATAAGATGGTGAGTTCTGATGATTCGGTCCCATGCTGCTGCGTGCATGCTTATTTTTATCTATTCTCTACTCTGTGAATCGTATCTCCTACAACCATGCTCAAGATTAAATGCACAACCTTCATGTACCTTGAATGATAAAGACCTTGAATATATGGTTATATAAAACTAAGATATTATTAAAAACAAATGCATGTCACAGTCATGGGTTAAAAATAGTTTTGTGTGTGTGTGTGTTAAGAATGAAGCATGCAGATTGGCCAGGATTTTATGTATGCATTTGATCTTGATCATTGAAGATAGTTTGGGGAATGTCCATAAATTCCTAGTTTAAAGCTTCAGTGCCTCTTAGATTGGGAACTGGAAAGTTTTGCTTTACCAACCCTCCAGTATAAAAATTGAGGAGAGTGGACACCTGTTTGCCGGGCAAGAGTTAAAACTTTGACATGATGGAGGAAAAACTGCAAGCCCCATGTGAGCCTTTAATACATCTGGAGGGACCAAAAGTGTGGGGAGAGTGGGACAGGGACCAAAACAGAAACCTAATACTTAGGGCAAGCAACTTTCCTTTTCTCTTAGGCCACAACAGATAGCGTTGTACCCACTCTGACCTTGAACAAGAAAACTGGATTAAACTTTTTAGGCCACTGCTTGACAGGAGGTAAATTTGTTTCTCCTACAAACTGATATAAGGGCTGGTGAGTGGTGTTAGCGCTGATTACAGGATTACCTCTGGAGGAGGATAACGACTTTGGGGTTCTGCAATCCCGCCAAGGCCAATACCTGAACTTGAACTTGCTGAACTTGCTCCCGTGTTGCCTTAGAAGAGAGCAGAATTAGGTCACGGGCTCCCCCAGCTGGGAATCTAGATAAGGCTAGACGGGGAAGAAAAATTGGGGTGACGCTCGGCTTTTGAAGGAGCAAAAGAGCAGAATCTATTTATTTGGTGCACATTAGGCTTTCTCTATTTATCACCTGAATTTTAAAATGGTTTGTCAATTTTAAACAATTTTAAAATTGTTTGAATAAAGATTCCCAGTAAGAAAAGAGAATGTGTGCGTGTCTGTGTGTGTTCATGATGTGTTGTTCATAAACACAACCTTCAGGACACCTTTGCCTTGCTAATAAATGCTTCTTGCAAATAATCAGAGAGTTAACTGCTATTAATAGTAAATATTTTCTCTTTATTCTGAACTGGTTCCTCTTTTCCCACATTTAGAGGCACTTTGATGTGTCTTAAAAGTGTGTCTATGAGAATGCGTACTATTGTCCTCAGGGAAAACGTGTGATGGAACTATCTTGTTCTCCATAGAAGCACAGGAATAATTAAATTTTAAATCAGAGGGGGGAAAAAAAAAAGACTTAGTAACTGAAGAAGCAAACTGTCCTAGAAGCCACGGATCATGTATTTGAGGCAGCTGCAACCTTTGTTTGCGGCGCTCTGGGAAGAGGAGAGGGGGAAGGGCGGCCTGTGTGCCAGGCTGTTGGCACCAGCTGTGGTCACAGCAGCTCCACGTTGCTCAACTATCCCCAGTTGTGCCTTCCTGCCTGCCTACCTGCCTAAAAGGACGCAGGGCAAGAGGCAGGTCCCAGCCAGGAGCCTGGAGCATGAGCTGCCAGCAGGGGAGATCTGCAGCGACGCCAAGCAGCAGTCCAGCAGTTGGTGTTTCCAACCCACCTGCCATATGATTGGAATCTAGATTCCAGAAGCGTGCAGCTTTGAAGAAATGCAGGTTAATCATCTGCATACACGCCGTAGAGAAGGCACACGGGCATCTCACGTTTATGTATTTATAAATATGTATTTTATATATATCTCTAGTTGTAGCCGTTTAGCTTTATGCCATTCAGTTTCTTCAGATTTCTTTTTCATTTTACCCAAATTAAATCTTGTGGGGGGCACCGCAAAATTTAATTTACGATTGATGCCGTATTCCATATAACACAAAAAATAAAATGAAATGTAAACATTTTTAATCTTCTATCAGAGAACAGTGCCC